TTATATTAGAGAAGAAATCAAGGCACACCACAGATTGCTGTATGTTGGAATAGCCGTATTAAGCTGAGAATGCACAGAGCAAGAATCAAGAATTTTATAAACTGAATAAAAGATGGAGAGCAGATGTTTTATTTAAGGTTAGATTTATTCACATGATAATGTGTTAGCTGGAGTGTATTTCATATCAAATAAATATTTACAGCTGTAGGGATTTTAACACTGACATAAGGGTGCCAAATTATCACCTGGCAAGCTGAAGTTGTCTCCTCATCCATAAATGTGGTATTGCAGGGCAAGCAGCACTTCAAGTTTTCATTAGTCCAGGAATAACATATATAAAAGCCTGGGCTGGAGCAACAACCACTGACACTGAGAGAAAACAACTTCTGTGATTGAAATGAGAGCTCAGTCTCAGGTCTGTTTGCTCATACTGCTGGCATGGGTGCTGCTGGGCATAGACTGGGCATTTTTTGCTGCAAGATGAGTGCTTGTCCAATGGGAGAAGGGGTGAGACAATCCACGTGCTTCAGTATCACATGCCTCTTGGTCTGGCAGGCAGAGACCAGGGATGGATGCAGCTCAGGTGTTGCCAACCCTTTTGATGCTGGGGGCATGGGATCTGGTATTTTTCATACCATGCAATATTTGATGAGCAGAAAGCTCCTGCTCCAGGAGGCATTTGATTACTGGAGAACTTCCACATTCACAGATTTTAAAAAAAGCCCTATGTTTCTAGACATTATAGCTAAAAGAATAGCCTGAAGACAAGCATGCAGCATATTCTAAAGGAAGCCAAGAATCTATTATTTTTTACCTTCTTTGCTAGTCCCTCTAAGATATCCTGTAAGTTCAGACTACGGTTCCTGGTATACAGCTTCGAAAAAATTAAAAATGAGAGCACACCTACTTTCTAATTAAAATGCATCGCAACTTTCAAAAGCGAGGATGGTACAGAGCACCATAACATTGCTGGAGGCACATAGTGTCTCACTTCTGTGTGCACTCCCCTAAGCAGCTTACACGGAATGCCTTGGGGGAGTGTGACTGGTCTGCTGTGTGTTGGCACCTTCCCTACATCAGCTGCTCTTTAAAATATACAGAACGGCTTTAATCATATCTTGGAGAGAAGGAAGGTTGAGCCAAGATTTTGATACTTCACCACTGCATGTATCTCCTGGTTTTAGCTTAAATTCACACAAAAGTAACATCCCAACTCACCTTCAGCCCTGAGAATATTACTTTTTATTCTGCTTTTCATAAGGAAAAAGAAGTATTGATGGTTTCAATTCAATAAGGAAGCAGCACACATTTGCATTAAAAAAATCAGAGCTCAAAAGCACTCATTTAAATAATAATGTTTCAGCCATAGAAAGACAGAATGAGATGGAAATGAAGAGACCTGTCTGAGATGTTCTCCAAAAAGCTGGCACACTGACTTGCAAAAGGTTCAGTTCCACAAAAGTCCCATTATCAGGCATATGGAATCAAATAAAATTAAATTAAAAGGAGAAATTTAAGAGTGGGTGGAATAAATGGGAGAAAACATTACTTTTTCTTTTCCTTTTTTAACTTTTCTCGGCTACTTGAGTATTTTGATTTAATTTAATTTATTTTTTCCCTGGCTAAAATATTTTAACAAGATGCTGTAACAAGTCTGATCAAGGTAATTCTAGGCTGCAGTAGAAATCACTGTATAAATTCTGTTCTGGTATGTTCTATGTTGCTGAGCAATCTGCCTGGGTCACTCATGCAGCTGAATTTCAGCTACGGATGAAAAGACACCCAATTAACAAATTTACAGCAATCTTAGACACTTTTGGGACAGAGCTGATCGGCAACATTATCACTGAAACATGCATATGGAATCCAGGCTTTTAATATATGCTGACCATTTTAACAAAGAAGAAATGAACACTTACAGAAGATGTTTGTTCAGTCTAGTCAATTAAATGTGCAAGTATAAAACACTGGGTGGCACACTTCCAGCAGACTCTATTCCCTCTTCTGCACAACAAGCCTTCCTGAACCATTTCCCATCAAACCATCTGTTTTTCAATCTTATCTCAAAACAGTGATTTTCCACTGCCATCATATGAAAGAGATATTGCCTTTCCAATGGGTGAGCCTCCCTTTGTGTCTGACAGGACATGTCTTGTTTCCTTCAATGCATTTGGAGGACAGCATCACTGTTATGATTTCCCCACATGGAAGTCAAGAATTCAACATCCATCATATTTTTCTCTCTACTTCTGGTTACTCAGACATGCTACAAAGTAGGCCCTTTGCTAGGACACAGAATGGGTTGCTCCTCCTGCCTAGCTGTTGATGATTCCCTTTTCCTAGGATGCTTTCCTGTGCATCCTTTGACGGAAGGTGAAGGAGGACTGCATGGCCGAGGCTGTACAGTCAGACCCAGACCCATTGCCTTCATCCTGAGGTCCAGTCTTTTAAGTGCTGCTACGTGCAGGTAGCCCACAACGAGGCTGCCCACAAAAGGTACTGTTGTCCTTGGACTGCTGTTCTACAGCAAACCCTAGAGCTCCTCAGTCCGTGGGAAAGGAACGTGTTACAGGTTGTGCCAAATACACCAGCAATTGCTCACAAAAAGGGCCAGTTTGCAATGTCAGTATTGGCCAGTGCCAATATTATGTTAATTTTCCTGGTGGTCAACCCATGCAAGAGCTGAAAGGCTTGTACTCCTACCAGGCCTGCTCAGGTAGACCCAGTGGTAGAATATCCAGTGGTATAAATACCTTCAGCAAATGCAAAGTCAGTTATTGACTTCCCTAAGAAAATATTCACCATCCTTCACTATTGCAAATATTGCTCATTAATTGCCAAGAGCTGGAACATGAAATCAAATCTAGGTCTCATTAATTTAAAAGGTATTAGGAAACACAGTTGCCTTATTGCATGGTAACAAACCTTTCAGTCACTGTTCTGTAGCTGTTTGTACTTACCCTTTCCTCCCCACCTCATTTTGGCTTGCATTTTTGTCCAACCACTCCGCATCACATACTTGTTCAATATTACGTGACATGTTATGTTATCCGTACGTGAAGAAACACCACATACTTTCAGTGTGCAGAGCCCATGTTTAACTGCCAGGAAAATAACAAAGCAAGAACAAACTCAAGGCTGGATGGAAGAAAGAGCGTGTGGACAGGTCGTTACTGACTCTTTAATAAACATCTTGGATTGATTTACAGTCCTATGCCAAAAGCAGATGTGCCACTTCCATTTAAAGACTCAACACATAGCAGCACTCACGGTTTCATAGCTGCATGTATTGTATGCCACAGCTCTTTGTGCTTGTAACAATGCCTTTATTTGCACAGATGTGAAGAGAGTCAGGGCATAAAATGAGACCGTTTACACAGTGCACAGGATTTGTGGTGTTTTTGTAACTAAGTGACTTTCCCCATTCTTCCAAGAATATAATAAGGAATGTGTGTCTTTAGATCAGAAGAAGATATCATTTATTTGCAGGTATTGTAGATGGTTTGTGTGCGTGGCATTGTAGCAAATATTGCTCATTCAATGATATTTTCAAATAGCAAGTTAATAATAAGTTAGAACAAGTTCTGTGGAACTTGCTTTTGAAGGCTATAAAAGTTTGATAAAATCTGTTGATCACTAGCAGGGAATTTGGCACTTGAATCGTGATTTATAAGATGTTTGCCAACCTGTCAGTGAAGGAAATGCATCTAAAATTTCATTTTAAAAGATTTCTACTTATAAATCATGTCCCATGTAAAATGGAGCGTGGAAGCCATGGACCCTTGCACTGCTTTTCAAAAGCAGTTCTGTGGGCATGAAGGTCAGGCACACAGGATGGAAAGTAAAGGGAATATGTATCAGAGGAGGGACAGCTTCTAGATTTACTGCACCCCAGCCTCTGGCTAACTCAGAAATGGTAGCTCTCAGGACATTAAGGGCAGTATTGTGTACCATGCCTAAAACCTGGCCTCTAACACAGCCCTACACAGCTACCATCTCTCTCTGAGGGATGAGAACTATTGACCATCATTAACCCCCCTGGAAAATACATCTGAAGTGCTGTGGGTAATACACAGGCCATCACCACCTCCTGCCTTTTAATCAATCACTAGTAATATCCTCAGGCTGGAGAGGGTTCTGGATACTTTTAATCCCCAGTGCCCATCTTAAGGTAATCTGAATCCAGTTTTGAACTGGTTGTGACTATTTTAGTGCCAACATCCTTCACTAGAATATCATCCTGCATTGATCATAAAATCTAAACCACTATTAGGGATAGTGGGACTAAATAGTTGGCTCTAAATTGCAGGTGGAGACAGAAATAAGGTGGTTTACTCTTTCAGAGTGGCTGACCTGGCCTCCTTGGCTTTAAAAATGAAACAAATGATGTAAGGGAAATTGATCCTTCACGTAGTATTAACACCAGTGGGTGTTACATCAAAGATAAATTCAGCCCTACAGATGGAATGTCACAAGAAGGAATTCTCCATGATGGGTACCCATGGGGATCTCTGCCTGCAGAGTTTAATTTGTGGTTGGAATTTACTTCCATGGAACAGGCCATGAAACCATTTGCAAACAGAAATCTCAAAAAAACTGAGTGATGCCAAAAGTAGCCACAGCAAAGCCTTATTTTCTGCACCAAGGACTCTTCAGCTGGTGGGCAGCTTTAACTTCATATCTACTCTGTTTCTTTCTGCACATACAGGTGGTATATAAACAGGATGTGTCTCTCAGAGACTCGAAATACAGACAGCATTTAAAAGTCACAATATTCATATGGAAACCCTGTCCCCATAGTAAGTATTTTTAGTTAAAATGGTGTTTAGTAAGGAGAAAAAGCTTTAAATGGTTCTGGCATCTCTTCACATATTTAAGTGCTTAGTGACATGTGGTTGCATACAGATTACTCCTGTTTCAAGGCAATGGTCACCCACATCACCTAAGCTGGAAATTACCTTTTTTTATTCCTCCTGAACAGTTATGTATTTCTGTGCAGCTGGTATAATAAATAGTTGTTCTTCAGTTACCTGCTGAGTATTACAGGTTGGATTCATCAGGGAATTAGGCACAGAGTATCATGAGGAGAAGACAATATTTAATGAGTGTGAGGAGTGAATGATGTCACTCTTGCTGGGGGGGTGGTTCAGGGCTGAGTAAAGCACAAGTTAAGTCACTGCAGGTGTGCAGCTTAATGACCTGCAACCGAGTAGCAAGTGTGCATGAACTGAGAGCACAGAGGGCATGTTTGGGAATGTTATTACTGTCGAGGAGCTGAAGTAAGTCGATGGATGTGTGAGGTAAGGCTACAGTGGATGTTATTTTTTGTGCTTTCATTTTTAATATGAGGAAAACACAGAGCAAATAAAAGTAAGCTATGTTAATATTACAGGTGTGTGAGTGGGACCTATGGCTTCTCTCTGTATTTCCCAAACAAGACTTACATTCTTTAACAGTTTGGGAGAGAAAAGTGGAAAATACTCATTTTTGCAAGCCTGTTTCCTTTATTACTTCTTTTTGTTTCTAAAGTACCAATTTCGAAAACACATTACATTCACAAGAGTTAACAGTGTGAAGTTATGATGCAGTTCAGCTGTATGTATATAAAAATTTACTTTCAGGAACAAAGCCTAAACTCCTTCTACCCCCACTCTCTGCCTTGTTGAAGTGCAGCTCATGGTGGGATGGATATTCTGTAAAATATGGAACCATATATACTGATGTAGGTCTTGAAAATGTTTGTTCAGGAATCCAAAACAAACCCTGTGCTTTTCTTTGAATTTATTTAGGATCATCAATATTCACGTACAGTAAACATTAAATTTAAAGTAATATCAAAAATTAAGCTGGGCTTCATGCCTAAGATATTCTAAATAAACTAGTTTTAGCTCAGAGATGAGCACTGTCACTGGTATCTGTGGGAGCTGTGTGTGGGCTATGCATTTAAAAGCAGGACTGAATTTAGGGCAAAAGATGGAAAGGAAATACCTGCGTATGTGTGTGTGTATAGAACTTCAGTCAGTGTGTATACTATGTGTATGTGTACATATAACAATATAAATATATAAAATAAAATTAACCCCATCTATTCTCATACATTTTCGTGTGTTTTATCCTACAGTATTGTCCTATGTACTCTGGTTGATTTGTGGCAGGGTTACTAAAGATAGGAGTAAACTAACTGTTGAAGATACTTTCTTACCTTTTTTTCCCCTGCAATAGATAAAAATTCCTATTTTCATTTATTTAGCAGTACAGAACTGAATTCTGTACAGCTGAATTAAGTAATATGTTTAATACTATTTTAATAACTCTAATATGTTAATATACTTTTAAAACTTGCTACCTGTATATGTTTCTGATTAACAGCGACACTCTGGGGAAGGTGCTCAGTAATGCTTGGAACTTAAGAGAACCTTGTTTCCATTTTGTGACCATCACTGTGGATCTGGGTTTATTTTGGATCAGCTATTTTCTCGGCCTTAAAATGGGATACTCAACGACCTCAATTAAGGAAGTCTGCTAAGGGACATGAGACCCCTTTGTTTACTGTCTCATGAAAATATCTTCATATTGGCAAGCCATTAAAAAGAATAAAAGGGTGGAAGGAAGAGGCAAGACAGCTGAGATATCTGGTAATTTACTGCATTCTCTGTGCAAGTCTGTGTTTCCAAGGAACCACTCTGGTAGAAAGGAAAGGAGCGTCCTTTCCAAACATAGCCTTGGCAGGAGGCGAGGTACAGAGCTACAAGGGACACTCACTACGAGAAAAGTCTCCTCCTGCCTTTACTTCGTAAGAGTTTTCTGTGTGATTTTTTAAGCTTTCCTCATGACATGAACTTAGGCAAGAATAGGGATTTTGGAAGCCAAGTTATAAGAATTAGGATTGTCATAGCAACAGGTTTAATCTCTAAAACTCAGGACTTCTTAGCACCCTGGAAAAGGGGCAGAGGTGATGGAAGACAGAGGCTGTGATCATTTCTGACTGCCAAATAAGAGGCAATAGGAGCAGTCATAAACAGTTTTATTACTCTGATCACAAGCAAGTCAGGTTGTTAATAGTCATCAGTTAATATTTTGAAAGATATATCTGCAAAAATATCAACCAGGTTGCAAAGGTAACCGAGGCAGGAATTTATGACTGTCGAGTGCCAGGAAAACTACTGTCATTCACCAGACTCTGGGCATGCTTTGCACTGCACAAGAACACAAACTGAGATATGTAACTGATTATTCCAGTTTAGTTTTTATATGTTTGTGACTAAAGTAAAAGTTTATTTTTATTCTCTTACTTAATTACTGCATATGGTACTAAATAACTGTGATTTTTCCCTGAATTCTTTCTTCTTCATGTTGAGTCTTGATCTGTTTGTTTTGGCTTTTAAAAAAATTATTATTATTACTGTGGGGTGTTTTTGTGGTGTTTTTTTTGTGGGTTGTTTTTTTTTTTTTTTGTTTAGGGAAAGGGCTCTCTAGGCATAGGTGGAATACTTGGTTTGTGAAGGTGGTTAGCAGATGCAGTCTGAGAAGTCATCTGGGAGGTTAAGGCTCACAGAAACTGAAACAAATAATAGAGCTGTTAAATGAGGAGAAAATTAAGTAGGCTTACAATTAGTAATTTGAACACATTATTTGTCTAAATGTATTGAGTGCTTCTCAGAAATCACACTCCTGCCATCTATACAGTGAGAGACTGAAAATGTGAAGCAGACAATTTTCGTAGGAAGAGTCCTACTTTTAAAGGTGTATACCTGGGGATAGCATCCTTTTCTAAAAACCCTTGTGACTGTAGATTTATTTTGCGGTAGGTGAACTAGGAACCTGGACTGTTCTTTTGCTAGCACCAATATTTTTGGCATCAGTCTCAAAAGAATAAGCCCATGTGAGTTTTGGGACACTGTTTTGGGAAACAGTGATTCAGAGGTTCTGCCCCAAAGGGAAAAGAGAGGGAAGAAATTTTTCAGTAGATGTTAAAAAATGGTCCTGCAGGTTTCTCAGGACTTTTCCTATGTCAGAAAAGGCAATGTGTAGGGAAAGAGATAATCACTAGAATCATCATGGTAGACTTTTAATTGGGGTCAAAGATGGTGAGAATTTGGCACTGCCACATCTAAACTAGCATCTGGCTATGAACCTGGTCTGCTGGATCATTTTGACCTATTAAGAGTCTCTATCACTTCTACCTTACAGGAAACCTGTGTCCCCACCCAGCTTTCTGGGTTACAGAAAGGCTGATCTATAGCCCTGAAGCAAAGAAGAAGCTGTACACCAAAAGCTGGAAAAGTGGCTTACATTTTAAGAGGAATTCTCCAAATCAGAAGGTAAAGTGAGTGTGTGTTCAGGGGATGCTGTTCTGGACCATCACTCAGCAGGTATATAAGCAAAAATAACAAGTCTTTATAGTAGTTTTAATCAAGTGCACTTTATAGGACCTTTCATCTTCAAAGAATGGAACAAATTTATTGTTAGTATAAACCCATGGGGACCAATGAAGATGGAGAAGGGAGTGCAGTTACCCCTTTACTAAGCAGGGTCATGATTCCACAGGAATATTATTTTGTACCCTGTCAGTAACTATTACAAAATCTGGGAGGCTGCAGTATGAATTTAGCTGCAAAAGGCAGACTGAATCTTGTGACTGCAGACTTAATGGCCATCATTAAGTATAATATATATGCATAGCTGCAGTACACTTTTCCAAGATTCTGGAAAGATCAGCTGAGTAACTGACTACAGGAGTGTAAAATTTATACCTCATCCACTAATGACTACTTTTATTCCTACTGCATGCAGTATGAAATTCTGTAGATCATATTACATATAAAACTGCACCTCATTCTCTTTCTCATCCTCTTGTACAGCATCATTTTCAGAGCATTTCTTGACAGTATGGAAACTGTCAAAGTTCAAATTAAGGAAGTGAAACACTGGACATAATACAGGAATCCAAAAAGAAGCAATGCACTTATGCCTGTTAGCAAAGCAAAGGCCTTTGGAAATGAGAATACAAACAATGTGACATTTCAGCAGGGCATAGAGAACATTTCTTCCATGTTGTCTTAGTCATTTTATGGTGTGGAAAAGGCACAAAGCCAATATATGAGGCTAGGTCTCTGTTTTCCCCTTGGCTCTATGTACTGAGAGTGCAAGCTAATGCATTTTGCTTGGCTCCTGCAAAGAAGTTCAAAGATCCCCTCTTTATCTGAGCAAGCCTTGGCAAAATCTGCCTGCATTTTGCTTTTATAGTAGGAACTTTACACAGAATTCAGATTACTAATGGCTGGCAAACTAATATGCTGGAATGTCTCAGATATGACTAATCTGTGTTTCACCTCTGATGTTTTATTAAGGGGGGAAGGGAAAAAAACCCTCAGAAATACTAGCAAAGGAAAGAATAAACTTTACATTAGGTGGTGGCTTACAATACACAACCCAAAATCTAATAAGGCGGGTATGAAACTGTCACACTGCTACCAGTGTTTTAATAGATTGTGAATGGGATTCTTTAAGCAAGGTCTCATTTAATTTGACTTGTATGAATTCTTGGTGGAAGAGCTATTGTCCATGTAAAAGTAGCTGGTTACTGTGAGGTTTCTTGCAAATATTTCACAAAGTCTTATCTTAATTATAGAATCATGTAGGAAGGGCAGATTCCAGACTTATCTTTCAGATTACCTTCTTAGAGCTTAATTTTAAAAATGAATGGGTGGGCATTGTCTAACATGAAAAAATTATATACCTTCATAAAGCTGACACCTTCTGTATATTTCTTAAATACTTAAAATGCTTTGTTCTCTTCTGGTAATGTAATGCACCAAGTTTTGTGTTGTATGGTAATTTGTCTCTGCACTCATTTAGGCTCTTTGTTTTCTGTGAAATGATAGTCTGTTCTTGGTGTATAAACATTGCGAGGAGTGGTGAGCAGGAAGCACATATTGGTATTAATGGTAACTGCAGCGTAAGCAACCAGGAATTCCTTTGGAAGTTGCACAGACTGCCCTGTTACTTGTTATTCTGTAAACAACACTAGAGCATATGCCTTGTGGTATGTCCTATACATGAAGGAAGGTAGAGAGAATTAGCAGACTCCTTGAAAGTTGCTTCAGAAAGATCTAGTGAATGGTGACAGTGCCCTGGAAACCACACAAAAGCAGGATATGAGGAGATATGGACTCTTCCCTATTCCTTCCATTTAGCCTTTGCTGGTGGATCACTTTCTTGTGCATTTCCTACATTTCTGTCTTTTTAGATTTCTACCTTCTCCAGACAGCATCTGGATTATGTCAAATGTTCACAGAGCAACCCTGCAATGCCAATCTTACCTTACCAGTAGTTGTGTAAAGGCTGGAGTTACTGTGGACAGCAAATTGAGGAGACACTTATGTCCTGGGCTAGGTGCTTCCAGCTTGGGTCAGGATATCACACCTTGAGTCCCCAGTTAGAGTTGTGTAGCATCAGACATAGTAATAGCCAGAATGAGGCCCTTTTGCAAAGCTGTACAAGACAGTGACCTAACAGCCAGATGCAGATGGAACTGACTGATGTGAACTTCCTTTAGCTGGGAATACAAATTCCCCAAAAGGAAAATTTACTCATTGAATAGGTTTGCAGAGATGTTTTCTACAAAGAGGCTCAAAATGGCTAGGATGTCTCAACATAGTAGGGATTTGTTTACTATCCTCCTTTGGTTCTTCCAAATGCAGGGTCACTAACCAGGACTTCCAGAGTTCTGTGGAAAGAGCTTGTGTTGCACTGTTACTGCTCAGTGTGGCTGTTAACATCTACAAAATCTTGTTCTCCTGCAATGTGTAATGATTTCCTTGCTGTTCACTGTAATTTTTTAAGCTTTCACATGGATAAAAGTGATGTTCACAAGGAGTTTAAATCCTTCAAACTTGCTGATAAACTTGTTCACCTCTTAAAACAGTACAGTCGATACTGTTGCTTTAAGGTTTCCTTCTAGTTGTACAGTACTAGATAATATATAGTGAAATCACATAATTTTTACAGAGATTGTAATAAAAAATCCTAGGTCTGTATTGTTACAAGCATAATTCCTGCAAATGATCAGAGGACTGTGCAGTTTGTTCCTCTCCCATGCAGATGGTAATCACTACCACAAGACTCTGTCATCTCCACTATTTCCTGACATACTTATATAAAAGTGTGCTAAAATGTACTGTCCCATGCTGTCTTCTGTTTCCACTAAGTTTAAAGCAAATCCACAGATTCCCAGGCTACCTCAGATGCTCCACTCCTGTGGTGTGGTGAGTAACCTGTGGTAAGGGAGGATCTTGCCATTGCCTCACAATACTCCATGTTTTGTGTGGAAAAAAATCCTGCCATGGCTAATGGACAGCCTTCAAACCAGAAGGGCGTTGATGAGTGTTAAAAATTAATGCTGGATACTTTGTATTTCTTAATGCAAGGGTTGTCTGTAAGTCAGAGAGGCAGCTATTCATAGACTGAGGAAATGCAGCCCAGGCTGGCAGAGGTTTGCACCCATGATACATCTGTCTTCATGATTTGTGCTCTTTGTTGAACCTGTGGCAGTGGAAATATGAGATGCATGTGCTATTGCTAAATCTCTGCTTCGTGCCAAGGAAGGACTGAGGCAGAAGAATGAGTTATAAACAAAGGAAAAAGCAGCAGTACACTTATTTGGACCTATTGCCTCAGTTGATATGAGGGGTGTGTTTAGTGGCAGAGTTCCAGGCCATGTGTCTGAGGCCTACAGCTGTGGTAAACAGAAAATGGTGTTTGTTTTTGTGGTGGCAGCCCTTAGCCCATAGAGGGAGATTGTGATTATGTTTGGAATTGGGCAATATGTAAAGTGAGGGGCAAACAGGTTGAATCCTCTTGAGGACTGTCACTCCCAATGCTCAATCACACATTATTCTTACTATCCATAGTTGCTCTGTCTATGCAGGTACTGTGTGGCAGCCTAGGAAGTACCTGGTGGGAAACATCATGTCTGTGCCAGTGTCTTTTTAGTTAGACAGCTGAAGAGATGATTCCTGTCTGTCCTATGATGGGGCATGCCTGGTTGTAGTTGAAATCTTGAAAGCCAAAGAGTCAAGTGTTGCCTGCACAGCTGAACATTCCCAGTCTTGTGCAGAGCCAGTTTTCCCTCTTCTTTCTGGCTTGCTAAATATGGAAAGGGGGTGTTGAAACTGCTGGGATGGCCTCTCCTAGTTCTGTTGAAGGTGTGGCTTGGTGTGCTGGGCAGCAATAGTGTTTGGTTTGGTATTTTTTTCCTCTGACCCAGCAGTCACCAGGCATGTGTTCAAAGCAAGTGCATGCACGAGTGCTTGTAGCAGTGTGAAAGGAGGGTGGTCTGCAAAGGGTGGTGTCTCTGAAAGCTGGATGGAGCTGTGTTACTGATGAGGATGAATGCTGATGTACAGGTCAGAGGTGGTGAGATGGCAATTTGGAGGGTGCTTCCCTTCTGGTGCCAAAGGGTTTCTGCTGTGGGTATAGTGCACACCCTTTGGGCACTTGATGTGTGTCCACATGTCTCCAGACAGCTGTTTAGTACCTCAATGCTGATGGAGAGTCCTGGGCCGAGAGCTTCTTTCAGTGTAGGTTTAACAACCTTTCCTATATTTCTGCCCAGACAGATCATGTTGCAGCAATATCTAAGTTGTGTATGAGTAAGAGTTATTCTCTTCCAAGTTGTTAATGTATTAATTTCAGGTGGTCAGTTTAGTCAAATGTGTTTTGAAGTTTTCCTGCTTGGCAAAGACTTGTCAAAGTGGCAGCAGTAGCAAATAGTGGTTTGCTATTTCTCTGGAGAAAACAGCAAAAACTCAGGAAAACACAACTGAACTGTACCAAATCTACAAAACTAATGAGAAGTTCAAATTTATTCAGGCAAATACTCTTTGAAATGGTGGTTACTACAGGCAGTGAAACTGTGTTAAGTCACAAATTCTAAAAAGAGAAAAGGGTGGTGAGGAAAACAGTTCTGAAGCTTTCATCTTGAAATGAGCAACTAGCTACAGGAATGTATTTTTCATGGTATATATTCTGTTTACACAGAGATGTAGTACTTTTAAAGTTAATTTAATGGCAAATTAAGCCAAAATAAACTTATAATGGTGAGGAAAAATATTTTCCTGCCACAGAAATTCCTTTGTTAAGGGAACGTTTCCTGGAAATCCTTGTTGCAAACTATCTACCAACTTGTTCCCCGCTTGTGTTGGTTAAGGATTCAGTCTGCATCTCACCTAGCTTTGTGTCTGGAAGTCTTTCCATTGTTTTCAGTGGATGTGAAATTGAGTTTCCAACTGGAAACTCCAAGATTCCAGCCAAATCATGT